TGATCAGGGGACTTCAGGGCAGACCCTACAACAAGAGGTTACGGGACCTGAACCTGTTCAGCCTTCACAAGAGAAGGCTGAGGGGGGACCTGGTGACCATCTATAAACTCACTAGGGGGGACCAGAAGGGTTTGGGGGAGACCTTGTTTCCCCTAGCGCCCCCCGGGATAAGGAATAACGGCCACAAGTTGTTGGAGAGTAGGTTTAGATTAGACATCCGTAAGAACTACTTCACAGTTAGGGCGGCTAGGATCTGGAACCAACTTCCAAGGGAAGTGGTGTTGGCTCCTACCCTGGGGGTCTTTAAGAAGCGGCTCAGGGTCATTTGAGCCCAGTTTTCTTCCTGCCCAGGCAGGGGGTCGGACTTGAAGATCTGCAAGGTCCCTTCCGACCCTACTACTATGATTCTATGATTCCTTAACATTGTCACTTCAAGAACAGGATCTGTTTTTTATCCCACCGTTAAGGTCTTTGCTGAAATCAAACCATCTGTGCTTCAGTAAAGGCCATGTCATTCACTGAATCAGGATGACTTTTGGTAGCTTCATAAATCAAATGTCAAGTTCTGTCACTTTCTCACTTTGCTAACTAATCATCCCACTGATGAGCGCTTCCCATCTATACGGCATAGTGAAAATGGGAAAGCAAGCCTCCAATTAACTGGCTCCCTTTTATTCCCATATACCCCTCATCATTATAGTCATCTGAGTTCATAGTTTTCTGAGTTCATAGTCATGGATACTACTAAAGATATGACAGGTAGAGAAAACAGAGGTCTGAGCCAGTTGACTCCCTCAAAGCATTTGTTCATGCCTAAACCTGTGTGGAGGGTTAAGGGAAATGCAATTACATCACAACATTTTTGACAAAAGCAATTGGGTAGCCAAAAACCATTACCCTGTACAATTTTACTCTAAGCCAAAAAAGCTTGCATGTCTATACTAATATGATCTCCTAGTCAGCTGTATCAAAAGTCTTCACACAGTCTTCCTGGGAAACAAGAAAGAAGAACTGGAAACCCTTGCACAGTTACCAAATTATGACAAGATAGACAAATTATTCATTACCCCACACAGATATGAGAGAGGTGGAAGTGGCTCTCAAGAGAGTTTGGAGGTGGGCTGAAAAGTCCCAAGGTAGGAATCCTGCAGCAAAACATGGGATAAGGGACTTGCTTGAAGAACTGCTTTTACTGTCAGTCTTATTGTTAATAAAGCCAAACATGAGGAAGAAGCAAGAGAACAGACTTGGTTTTAAAACAGCTTGAGACTGGCAACTTCTCTGACACACATTTAAAGGAAGCCAAGAACACAGACTCCTCAAAAAGAGGTTTTTGCAGTTTTGACCGATACTCGTCACAGTATCTGGCTGCTTAATTTTTAATCTTTTAAAAATTATCTTTTTAATTTTTAAAAAGATTCAGGTTACTGTCAAAAGCATTCTCAGTACCACAGTAATGTTACTGAGGTACCATATCAAAATTTTGACTACTGCTTTTGAAAGGGGTGGGGGGAAATGGTCTGGCCAACACAACACAACATTTTACAGTGATGTAGTAAACCGAATCCCAGTTGGGTAGAAGGAGCAGTACTCATAGGCAGGTATTTTACAGGGCAAGGCTGACCTCTCTCTCCAGTTATGCCAGGCCTTATATTTAAAATGTGACTAGTGATTCAGAACACCTCAAATTTTAGGCATGCTACTTGACATAGTGTAAGGGTCTTACCTGAAAATAAAATTATTTTGGTTTCTAGTTGGCAATGGACACCCAAAATACCAGTTCACTTTTGAAAGTTTAGGCCAATGGAAGAGTAGCATAGCTACTTCAGCAACTCAGAGGGGACTGTCATGTAATTATTGTTATCCAAAGGTAAAGACTGTACAAAAGTAATGGAATATGAGTCGGCAGTGTGACGAAGCCATCAAAAAAGCTAATGGCACTTTATCGTGCATCAGCAGATGCATGACGAATAGGTCCAAGGAGGTGATACTTCCCCTCTATCGGGCGCTGGTCAGACCGCAGTTGGAGTACTGCGTGCAATTCTGGGCGCCGCACTTCAAGAGGGATGCAGATAACCTGGAGAGGGTCCAGAGAAGGGCCACTCGTATGGTTAAGGGCCTACAGACCAAGCCCTACGAGGAGAGACTAGAGAAACTGGATCTAATCAGCCTCCGCAAGAGAAGGTTGAGAGGCAACCTTGTGGCTGCCTATAAGTTCATCACGGGGGCACAGAAGGGAATTGGTAAGGATTTATTCACCAAGGCGCCCCCAGGGGTTACAAGAAATAATGGCCACAAGCTAGCAGAGAGCAGATTTAGATTGGACATTAGGAAGAACTTCTTCACAGTTCGAGTGGCCAAGGTCTGGAACGGGCTCCCAAGGGAGGTGGTGCTCTCCCCTACCCTGGGAGTCTTCAAGAGGAGGTTAGATGAGTATCTAGCTGGGGTTATCTAGACCCAGCACTCTTTCCTGCTTATGCAGGGGGTCGGACTCGATGATCTATTGAGGTCCCTTCCGACCCTAACATCTATGAATCTATGAATATTCATGGTAGCTACTGCACCTAACCAATGTTCTTATCTTGAACATTAAAGTAAAATTTGTGGGTCCAGAGAAAGGAACAAGACACCTATCATAAACCTCCAATAGCAAGCCAAACATGCTATCAATCCAGAGGAATATTTTATATGCTAGGTGACCTGTAATACTGGAGCTAATGTCATCTTAACTGTATTCCTGCCTGCAGCTGCAATGAAGAGTGGAAGAAAAAAAATAGATGGTTACCATGAAGGATGGATAAAAGGGAAAAACTCCTCATGGTTAGGAGGGAAAGGGATAGATTTCTCCACTCTTCAGAAGCTAGAGGAGGTCATGGGAAGGGGTTGCAAAAGGAAACAAAGATGATCTTCTAGAAGTGTCAACACAATCAATTATGCTTTCCAAAGGACAAGTCAGTGCTTCCCCATCTCAGATTTGTTCATGAGATACATAAAATTCAAGTCCATAAAGCACTTCCAAAGCTCTGCATATTTCACATGCAAACTTTAAGGACCAAAGCTTGACCCTGCATGGTTTATTTTGTCATTGATAATAATGAAAGCCCATGTGAATATCCCAGACCAAAATGTGCCCTAAGCAACCAAGTTGTATCAGAAACACTAAAAACCCCTTAAAAAACAGAACTATTCCCATTTTACAGATGAGAACACTGAAAAAGAAACTATAGCCAAAGTTTGGATAGTAAATAAGTGGAAAGATTTGAAGTATATGAGAAGTCCAAGCCACAAGGCCTTGTCTACTTTGGGGTTCTGTAACAGTCACAAAGATCAATGGCCAGCCCTCTGTGCAGCTGCACTGGCACAGTTCCCTAGGATATACAGGGAAAGGTATGCTAATCTTCAAATTTGCACCTATAGGGCACTTCCAGAAGAGCAGAAACACGCGTTTCCCCAGGGCTAAGTAGCAGCGGCACACCTTAGGCCACTGCTACTTGTTTCCAAGGAATACCCATGCCACATGCACTCTGTGCAGCAGGTTAGCCTAGGTAGGGGAGGGGAGGCAGGGGCCAGCAACTGTGCTGGCACCAGCAGCCCTACCTAAGGTTGTGGGGGCCTCTGGGAGCTGAAACCATGGCACTCCTGCAGCAGGAAGCCCAGCCGGCAGCCAAAGTGTGGCTCCAGCCAACCAGGCTCTTGTTCTGGGCAGCATCTACTGCCGCCACATGCACTGTCCTGCTTTTTTTTTTTTTGGAATGGCTTTTTTCAACCCTGGGATCTCCTGGCATCAAACCCCACCACCTGCCCCCACCTCCCCGAGCTGCAAAGTAGCCGCGCAGGGAATGCCTACATGAGCGGTGTGTAGCTACATACCAGACGTCTACACTCATCTGGACATGCTCATGGAGTGTCATCAGAGTTTCAAGCTGCCTCAGTACAAACTCTGGCTTTCTAAGTTTATAAACAAGGATCAAACCAAAGCTAAAAAGCCATGTGCAGACAAATTTCCAGTTATATAACAAGTGTTATAACAAAGAATCATGATGCAAATTAAACCCAACATGGCAGCCTATGTTTTTTTTAAATCTGTCAGTCACTTCAGAATCTACTTTCAAATCGGTGAAGGATTTGTGGTTAACCCCCATCCAACAATGGGAAAATAGATTCTTAAATGTTACTTTGGCACTGAACTTCCTTTTTATTTAAGCAGTAGTATATATATTGCATGTGACACTTCATCTCATGATACAGCTATTATAATGTCACTGGAAATAAGATTATTGCATTCTCTAGAGCCATTACAATATCCACACTTTAGTATCAGACTAACATTATGACTACTATATTTATCTTGTAGCGGAGATGACAAACATAAGGGACACTTCCAGCAAGAGCAATTACGTTGTCAGTTTCTTCCAGACAGGTAAGAGAAACCGAGATAGAACAATGTCAGTGACAGCGTTATTGCAATGGCAATTGTGTAATGGCAAAAGCAGATGTCTAGGACAATTTCAGTGACATAATGGTTTATATTAAGATGATGATAAGGATGTGATTATAGGCCTGTAATGTAAACTCCACATTGGACTTGGTTAGGAAAAACATTATGAAAACTGCAGTAAACAAATGAAATGGTACCTTCCATCTACAAAGTTAAGTTTTAAAACATTTTAAATGCTTTTCCTTCATGATCAAACTGACTGATATTTATACCTTCTGAAACTTTTTAGTATATTATTTTATTTAAAAATTACAACAGAAAATGCATCTAACCCTCCCCCGTGCAACAATATAACCAATGTAATAAAGATCAAACCATTTATCTTTCTTAGGACACTATTGGATATGACTGTTTACCTCAGGCTACATTGGATATGATTGGAAATTAAATCTGAATGATGAAGATATGACGATTAATCACTTCTCAAATCACAGGCTAAACTGAGCATCATTTTTCACAGGCTATAAGACAATTTTTTAATATCCTATGAGACTGTATTTACCTGAATTCTCTACAGAGAAGAGGATAAATAAGCCGTTTATATGAATCTTCTACTGAATTATGCAGTATCTTCATTAACTCTGGTTTTGCATAGCGTTTTGGTCGCCATCTGTGCCAAAAAAACAGCAGGATTAAACATACCTACCATATATGCACGAGTACACAAAGATCTCAAGGAGATACAAAATTAAGTTGCCATAACTGGAAAGGAAAAAAAAGAGACAATTCTTTAGTATGGATTGTTTCAACAAAATGTGTTATAAATACCAGCACTATTCCATCAATCCTGCAGCAGTTATAGCCTCAGTGATGAACTGAAATAGGCATGGTCACATGACATCAGATGGCTGCCTGAAGCTAGACCTCCATGGGAGATACGACATCATCCACAATCCCTTGCCTCCCAGTAAGCATTTCCCCTGTTTGCAGTACCCTACAAAAGGGGGATCAATTTGAAAAGGACTTCCCCAGAAGAAACTTGCTGGAAGATCCTCATTCAGAAGAGCTCACAGGGTGTGCAGAATCAAAGACAGCTACTGCAGAACAGGTGGGGCAGTGAAGGAAAAAGACAAAACAGAAACAGCAACTTTAACCAGAGAGGGCTTTGGTGAGTTATTCTCAGAAATCAGAGGTTTAAAAATTCTCAGCAGGGGCTCAGTTTGATAAAATCAAGTAGAGATAGAAGAAATTGGGGGCAGGATCACTGACTTGAAAATAAAGGTGGAGAGAAACCTGAAATCTACTGTAAATATGCAAAATGAAATTAAGATGATGGGGAAGGAAAAAAGAAAAGAAAAAGAGCTTGCAGAGAAAAATGAGATTATAGAAAATCATGAGAAGAAATATTAAGAGGGCTCCCAGATGTGGAAAAGGAGAGATTAAACACAATATTTAAAGCAGCTGAAAACAAAGGCAACAGTCCTTTCAGACAGAGCACACAGAACTCTCTATATACCCACTAATTCAAACAAACTAAGAGACATTATATACATTTGCTCTATTTTGAACAAAAGCAGAAGATTCTGAAAGTTAGAGACTTCAGATCCTACTCTGGAAGGATACAAGTGTTTCAAGACTTGTTAGGGAGAAAGAAGAAACTTTGTAAAATTACTGCAGCTCTAAGAAGCAAATATGAGATACAGATGAGGTTTTCTGTTTAAACTCATCTTTACACATCAAGAACAGCTGCAAAATACAAAGAAAGAAGAAAGATGGACTTAAAAGCCCTGAGAATCTGAACTTAGTGGAAAGCACCCTGGCATTACAGCTTGAGATTGGCACAAACAGTGAGAAGCAACACCATAATACGGAACGGCAAACTATTAAACTCTGCAAAAAGCAGGTACCAAGACAAAGCGACTGGGAGAACTCCCATAGTTTTGTGACTTGAGTTGGACTAAATAATAGCATGAAAAAGAAAAAAAATGGAAGGGGGAGTATCACAATGTGAAAAAAAAGATGCAATGTTGAGAACCAAAACCATTAAGAAGATGGGGAAGTAGAGAGATATTCTAAGGCTAAAGGCAAAGGCTAAATGGGTTGAGGAGATAAAGTAACATGGGAAGAGACTGGGGGGAGGCCTGAAATACTGCTTTGCACAACTTGATCCAGAAAACAGTATCTGACAAACTATAATATAGTGCCATGACTCCCCTAGAGTGGGAGTCAGGAACCTCCCACAAAGGAGTTCACTACTCAGGTGTGGAGGGATTAAACACTGCTTTCCATCTGAGATTCAGGGTGAATCTCCACATTTTAGGAAAAGGGTCAAAGGTACAAAAATAAGGGCCATTTGGGGATCCCAAATTGGAGGGAAATTGAACTGGGTACATGATGAGCATGGGAGGAAGGGGGAAGGCTAACAGGTAAAGGAATATAAAAATAAGGATAGTTTGGGAATTAAATAATCTTTTTTAAAGTGCAAACTTTCTCTTTTTAATGTGGTTTCCTCCATAGTTGGTTTCCTATTCATGACAAAAAAGATGACTCTTTTTTTTTTTTTTTTTTACTGTTTGGGCAAATTTTAAAAAGTATTCCTTGGGGGGACAGGGAGAAGGAATTTGATAACATGAAAATCTGTCCACGTGCAACCACCATAGCAAATGATGCTAAATTTTACTTTTTACTGTGCTCCACTTGCATGCAAAATTAATTTAGGTAGTTCCGCTTCAAAAGTGTTCAGGACCACATAGATACTCTGTTCTTTGAGGGCATCTATGATTTCCTGAAAGAAAATCTTTTCTTATGCATATATTACATATTTAATTTTATATTATATATGAGAAGCCTTATTGAGCCAATACATCTATTATAATGTATACAGAGAAGGGTGCAGAACTCAGAGTATCTGAGCAAGGTAAATTTTACTACTTCAGGATTTTTAAGTGCTTAGCTATGTGACCTTAACATTGTAGCATCACATCCTTTTGTTACTAGTGGGTGCTGACAGACACGGAAAAACAAACCCAAAACAAGAAAACCCAGCGCTTTACCAGAAAAGGAACCACGTCAGTTTGACCCAGCTCCCCAGAGTCTATATAGATCACACACTTCAGCGGGGCTTTTTGGCACTTTTATCTAATAGCTGATTGAACAGCTATTAGATTAAAAGCACCAAAAGCCCTGCTGAAGCATGCACAATCTATACAGAGGCTGCCCTGCCCTTGGCATGGGGCACACCAAGCTAGAACTAAAGCTCTGGTTTGGGGTTTTTCCCCCTGCCAGCATCTGTTAGAGGCCAGTTTTATTATACTTTCTTGTACCTATTGCCAATTTTTCACACCCACATAACACTGGCACAGAGTTTCCTTTTCTCTCATTACTACCCAATTCTATAATATTAAATTTGTGTGCATGGTAAACTATGACTAAATTCTTCAAAAAGAAGTATCCTGATGGTAGATAGAAATGCATTTGGAAAGAGACAGAAGGTTTCCCCCCTCCTTTTAGGCAAATTAGTGGATCTTTCATCCACAAACAGCTCACTGCAGAAGATATTTCAACTACATGCCTACACATGAATTTCAAGATATTCAGTGAAGAGTCATAACAAATGCTACAGAATCAATTCCAGACTCTGCTATTAAAAATAAAATCTAGAAAGTATATTTATTACACTGCCTGTGTAAAAATACCAAGCCTGTAACCTTCATCCATTATTTAAGGGGGAAGAGAGAGAGAAATAATGCTTATTACCAAAGTGAGCAAAAGTACCACTACAGACCACTCAAAAACCATCTAAATTAAATTTTTACCCTGTCAAATATTTTATCAGGATTTTCTACTAATGAATTAACTTCTAGAACATGCTTCACATGTGGTTATGGTCAGGAAAGTCTCTGTATAAAACAGCATCTTGTGAACTGAACAAAGTTGTACAGAAAGTTGTATATGGTGGGAATTATGTCCAGGAACAACTATTTTACAGCACTGCTAAAAAGCAGATTTGAGACTTTAGAATTAAAAAAAAAAAAAAAAAAAAGTCCTATATTCTAATCCAGCTACTTGATACCATTTTTAGAGTCATTTGGAAGGATATATTCAGATGTTAGAGCAAGCTCATTCCACTCCTGCAGTGATCAGCGTGGTCCAACTGCATATGGTGATACGGCATGCATGGGCTTGGATTACAGAGATGCCATTTGCTGAAAAAATGTGGTTCTGTCCATAATGACAAATCTGAGGATATGTAAGGTCTCTCAATAAGTTTCAACAAAACCTGAAACATGGTCTTAAAATTACATTTTAATTACTATAGGTGCCAAAACAAGTTTTCTAAATGACAACAAAGCATTGGTTACGGGGGTAATAGATTACAGATTCTTAAAAAGGGTGCTATGGGGTGCCACACAATGCTAGCAGTTAGGCGTGCTCACCTGATAAACCCAGAGTTTTCAAAGAGAAATTCATAATGTGAAATCTATTCTGACCTGTTTGATATTTATGTTCCTGAAGTGATACAAACATAACAAAATTTTGCAAGTTTTACTATTCCATTCAGGGTTAAATTTACTTTGATTTACTTTGCTTGTATTGCTGTGGGAACAGGCAGACACAACTAAAGTGTTCCTGAGCGGGAATCTCCACCCTCTTCTCTTTTAAAGCAGTTAAAAGTTATGTTTGTTTATAGCCTGGGTCTTCAAAGAACCAAACCTATTACCTGAAAGATGTCTACCATTCTCCAACTGCTCTTTTCTTCCTAGTGGTATTTTTAAATGAAACAGTCGCACACAAATAATTAAAAGGGCCGCATACTCGTTCCTAATTTAATAGGCAAGTTAAGATGCTGGTCACTATGCATATCTCAGCTCTGTTCATGGTTCTGCAACTAACCTGTGTGTGACCTTCAGAAAGTACAATAAAATCCAGTGGTGACACATAGGGAGTGCACATACACCCCCTGAGACTGCTGGTGCACCCCCTGACAGCCAGCATTCCCTGCTTAGGTGAGGGGGGGGAGGGAGGGGGCAGGTGAAAGTGCTGGTGCCCTCCCTGAAAGCGCTGGACAGGGAGTGGGAGCACCAAGAGAAGTGATCCCCATGGTCCCCCTGCGCCAACCAGGGGAGGAAGATTCCCCTGGGGTCGGTGCAATCAGACGCAGGGGAAACCCCTGGGTCAGCACAATCGGCCACGGGGCACCCTCTCCTTCCTCCCCCCCCTCCCCACCCCCCCCATCGCTGACTGGCTGCTATGGGGGCAAGCACCCCCCACAACTCAGGAGGCACCAGTCATCCATGGTAAAATCTCTATTATCTGGCATTTAACTAACCAGAATACTCTATTAACCAGAATTTCAGCAGCAGGACACACATGGCACTATGCTGCTTTGCTGCCTGCTGTGCTGCTTTCAGCGGCACAATGCACGCTGTAGTGTTAAGTGTATTGTATTTTTAAGTGATCTAGGTGTATGCCATGCACTGCCAATACTGTACTACGTGTAACTTGAGTGTACTCTACCGTACTGTACATCACTGCCTCAGGATTTCTCTTAACTCTAGTGTTGCTTTACTACTACTTGATTGGCGAGTACCTGTATACTATTTTATTCTTTATACAGTATGTTATACTATAATGTATTGTACACTAATTCTTTGAAAATGTTCACTACAA